CTGCAACCTTTACAATGCTGAGGAGGACATGGCAGCCTGCCCAGAGCCCAAGTGCTGTATCTCATAACTGCATGTGAAATTCCATAGGATTTTAATCAGATAGTTTTAAATTTATTGAGTGCTATAAAGGTGCACAATGCTATACACAGGAAATAGCATTATAAAATATTGCTTTGAGGGGTGCAAGGGAAAAACAATCTATAGAAAGAATAGCACTGAGCCTCCCAACTCAAACTTCTGGATGTCCAGCTTTGTATGTGAGGTACAGCACGGGGAGGTGGCCTGTGCCCCTAAAGAAGGAAGCTCTGAACTCTGTACCTATTGCCCCACGGTTCCAAGTGACCACATTGTGCAGCAGAGTGATTAAATCTAGGGATGATTTAACAGACTACAGATTTGTTACCCTATGTGGAGAGAGTTGTGGATGACAGAGGGTATAGGCAGGGCTCCAAGCCCACTTTGAGAAAGCTGCTAACGGGCCACTCTGCTTTGTTTATCTAAAAGCTCCATAGCCGCAGAGCCTCGTGGCTCCTATTGGTTCTGGTTCCAGTTCCGGTTCACTGTTTCCAGCTCTGGTTTGTGGGAAATGGCGAACCAGAGCCAATGGGAGCCACGAGGCTCTGTGGCTGTGGAGTCTTTAGATAAACAAAGCAGAGAGGCCCGTTAGCAACTTAAACACCGGTCTAGGATGAACTTGAAGTAGGGAGGTATTTGATGACCTAGCTAGGGTGAATGTATACAACTTCCTTCTACTGCATAAAATCAAGACCTTTCAATTATATGCCATCAGCCCTGTATTGTTAATAACGAACCAAAATAGCCCTTCAGCTCAAATATGAATGTCCCGTGTGGTTGGAGCAAGAGGACATGAGTTTTACACTTGCTGCCATTAGGGGGAGTGGGGAGGGCAGCTGTGCAACACATTGAGAACACCAGAGTTCCTAGTTTGAAATGTTTTTAGTGGAAATTTCATTTAAAGGTTTACAAGGGAACACATCCATTCCAACAAGATTTTCCAATGAAAACATTTCAGAACTGAAATCAACCAAGTTTGGCATAGTGGGTCAGTCTTGTCAAATGTTGCCCTCTGGGTTTTTTCACTGGATGAAACACATTGGTTCAGATGAGCCACAGAAAGTGGCAGCTCTCTAGGACTGGCTGGCCTCTGTTCTTTTGGGATCAAGTTTGCATGACAGAACTTGCATCTCATCTGTGGCTAAAGGGAGGACCAAATCCCATCAGCAAGTATGTTTCTGACAACACAGCTAGTGGTTACTGCTGTGATGGAGGACACATTCATTGATTTCACACCATAAAGCTTCCACACCAAAGCCACTCCCTACATTGTGGGACAAAACAAGATTTAGAAATTGGGATGGAAAGAGTTTCTAGACTAAACACATACTTGGCCATTTATGTGTGTGTGGATGTGTAACACAAATATTATACATCTAAATCAGAACATCTGTGCTGTTACATCATTACTCAGATCACTGAATTCCAAAATGTAAGAAAAATACCACTCTCTTATCACATGTTATCACAACTGCCCACTTTTTATTGTAATAGTCGCTGTGGCATACAATTCTTACTTCAAATTCATCTCTCACTCTTTAATTCACCCTAGTGATCCCATGTAAGTGCTAGTGTTAAGTGATGTAGAAATTTAATCCTCTTGGCATTTGAAATGGATGGTCATTTTAGTGTGTAAAGATTCAGAGTTAGAGTTTGTGCAGACCTTGTTATTTGCAATCTTGTATGCTAATTTTCTTGCTTTCATTTTTTCTATGCCAGCTATATTGTTCCAAATTGTTTCTTCTAATAAAAACAGTTTATCAATTACAAAAAAAAAAAGATGTGTGGTAGACTCTGATTAAGAGGAAGCAGCATCTTAAAGGACAAAAGGAACCAATAATTTGTGTAACACAATCACTACAAAAAAAGGTAAATTAGACTCATGTTGATCATAATGTTTTGTACTTGACTGTCTAGCTTACTGTACTTTAAAAGTAATCCATATCTCAATTCTGCAATCTGAGTTTAATGCCTTATTTTTGTAGCTTGTAAAAACAAGTGTAAAAAACTATTCAACAGCTTTTCTTGTGGCTATTAATGTCTTGATTGTAAAAATACCCTGTTTATGTGCCAAAGAATTTCCAGTGTCACTCACTTCTTATCACAAATTTGTGGTTCATGGCCAAAGTGTACCCTGACAAGCTCTGAGCGAGTGTTTTGACACTCTATCCATCTTCAGGATAATTAGAAGCCTTCAGGGACAAGCGACTAATTGACTACTAACAAATCAAAGCATCAATCTTCTAAAGAAAAACAACTGTATATATTGACCCCTGTTAGAAACCTGTAAAAGAGGCAACAAGATCTCTGATCAACTAGCCAATGAACAAGCCATTTTAGTGATGATCAGGAATAAAATAAAAGCCAGATCTTTTAGAGCGCTGCTGAGAAATTATGCTTTACTTACACAGCTCTATAGTAAGTCTGTCAGCCTACGGCACAATTCATTACCTTAACTTATTTCTTTAATAAGTAAAGAGAACAGAGGAAGGAATTTCACAGCTGGCAGTATATGAGCATTGCATCAGCTTTCATCAAGGGACTACAATTTTTAAGGTTGTTTTAAGTCTTGCTTAATTTTCTTAGTTTTTTTTTTATGGGACCTTTTTCCTGGGCAGATGGGAGAAAAAGGTTGAATGGGAGATCAGAATCTGTTGCCAGCCTTCCATGCAGAAGTGCATAGTTATGTATCAGATATTAGAAGATGTATCATCATAAAATTCACACAGCTTGTTGATTGCAGGCCTCAGGAACCTTTTTTGCTAAGCTGAAGTATTTCAGATATTTTAATTAAAAAGCATTTACAGAGTACTTTACAGGTTGAATGTCTCCCCACCAATCACATTTCTCACAGACACATCTACGACTACACCAAAATGAAGGTGAGGATCCATCTATATTAACCATTTATGAAGATATGCAATATACAGCAATGGTACAATATTCTGCCCATATTTCTCTAACTAAATTTCTATCAGAGACTTTTTCCCTAGGTCTCATGAACTTCAACTGGAAATGTTTCTGGAAGAAGGAAAAGAACTGTAAGAAGAGAGAGCAAATGCTCCAAATTATTCCTCATGGCGTCCATAAAATGTGAAGAAAAAAGGAAATAGCTTTGGGCTGAAGGACAGATCCTAAATGAAAAAAAATCAGCTAATAAACCAGTGTGTTTATTAATAAAATGACAAGACTTCATATGAGCTTGCATTGTACAGGAGAGAGGTGGGAAATTACAAGATATAAATTTCTGTTTTCAGCGATGAGGAAACTCTGGAATGGGGGGTTTGCTGGTGTCGCTCTGCTTTGTAATTCAAGAGTGGCAAGCTGCAGCACTCATACACTCTAACTGGGAGTAATTTACATGCTAGAGGCGGTGTATGGGCAGATTAGGAGTGATTGTTTTCACAATAAAGCAGTGACATAGCCATTCAGATTGTACTCTGGGTACGACACCGGTTAGAGACACAGACATTCAGATTGTACTCTGGGGGTATGTCACAATATCGTTTCTTCCTTCTCCATGTACTCTGTTCATTGGTCCCCCAGCATCCCAAGATGGCCTGTCCTGGCATGACCTTACACAGTAGTGCAACAATAAGGCACAAAAGAACAGGGTAAAAAGAGAAATAAACATTGCAGAAAAGACTATTTTCATTGCTATTGGGCCTTGATTATGGTATTACCAATCTACAGAGAAGGCTTTAATCTAGGATGCACATTTGCATTTATTATTTTAAAGTAATGAAACAAAAATTAAACCTTTGTCAGAACTAAGCATCAAGCTTCAAGGACTTGGTCTATTTGCAAAACCCATCAGTCTAACATACTACTTCAAGAACACCTGTCTGACTACCAATAGCCAAACATGTCATAAGACTTTTGACATCTTTCCAAGATCTTTGCTTTCAGCTATGCCATTAAAGATGGAAAGAGAAGGAAACTAGTGCTGATTTTCTTCCCTCAAGTGGATAATCATGAGTACATCTTATTATTTATGATTGAAAATTTGAAAGGAAAAACTGCTTAAAGACATGGTGCTGGTAAATACCATCTTAACCTGGGTTTAAACTGGGTAAAATAATTGCTTCAAGGTCCAACAAGTTCAGGAAGCACAGATCAATTTCTTTTCAAACTTTGGATATATCCATTCAAAACTTAGGAGTAGGGTCAGACTCGCTACTACATCAGAGTTGGTCCTCTCGACAGAATGATGCATGACCAAAAGGACCTGCACTGGTAATTCATAACCCTGTATGTTTCTAATTTCTTAATGCTTCAAGACTATATGTCTGTATTACTGTTGTTTTCATATAATCAAATACTTTGACTTCTTTATATAATATTGAAAATAGAAATGCATCATGAGATATATAACTTCCTTTAGAGGACACCAAATCAAAATGCATAAAGATAAAATGCATACAGACTGATATTCAGTATTAGAATTATGTATATTAATACTGCACCTACTGCAGTTTTACTTTATATTTGTACAACCCTGAATTAATCTGCAAATATACTGCCTTATGTAAACACAATTTAAATATGTAACTAAAATTAAATATAATGTGGTGTATATTAACAAATCAGTTTTAAAACTGAAAATGGCTTAAACTAGGACTAACTAGTGTTTCTTGGGGCAATGAAAACCATGATTTTACCTGGTAAAAACACCTCTGGTAAATATTATGTTATCCTTGTTTCAATTAGAAGGGCGTAGATTGGGCAAAACAGAATAGTAACTACCATTAACTAGGAGTGACAAAAAGTGCTGAAGTAAATAGTGTGTGTTTGATATATTGTTGTTTTAACAATTACTGTAAGTCATTTTTTTCAACGTACATAGTGGCTTGAAACAACAGAGCATGTATGTCCATAAATGACATCCTCCTAAAATGATGAAATTACCTGAAATGACCCCTTACCTTGGAGAGCCTGTAGAGTACGAGTCTGAACAACAATACAGAGCTGCAGGACCAGCTGTGGAGCACTTTCCAGAAACGTGGCTAGCAAATGCAGCATACTCACATCCGCATACTCATATACCATTTTCCAATAAAACCGCCATCTGTCGTTCTCTCCACTCTGTCGACTGCGGATACCTAAGTATATCGTGTGGAAATACCTAGAAATAAGAGAGAAATTAATAAGAAGATTTTACAAGCAATGTTTTTAACTCTCAACTAACCTGCAATGTCTCAACATGCTGCAGGAGAATAAATATTCAGAAGGAACATTATATTCTAGTTCATAATATTTTGTTCAATGGGAAAATAAACAAAAATGGTATGGATAACACCATTTTTGAAAGCTTAGAACTTTTGCCTTATTTGTAAAATGCATTCAATTACTTTCAAAGATAAAGCATTTTAGGATGAAATACAGAAAAACTGAGCTCATTTATGACCTTCTGCAAAACCCATTGAAGCAAATGGAAAAACTAAAATAATGGAAAAGTAAATCTAATAAAGTGGGCTCTGGCTCAGGTCCAAAGGCCCTGAACCTGCAACAGGCTCTGCTTGGGCAGCACCTTAGGTTCACATAGACCCATACTGACTTCAGTGGTACTGCACAGCAGCATTATTTCAGAATAACTGATGTTATTTCGAAATAACAAAGTGTGTGTCTACACTGCAAGCCATTATTTTGAAATAATTTCGAGCAGGAGGACTTCTTATTCTGACTTCTGTAATCCTCATTTCACAAGGAGTAAGGAAAGTCGAAGGAAGAGTGTTCTGCCTTTAACTTCCTGTTGTATAGACAGTGCCAAAAGCTGAATGAATTAATCTATTTCAGCAACAGCAACACAACTGATGTAGCTGAAGTTGCGTATCTTAATGCGACATTTGCCATGAAGTGTAGCTGTATCCTGCTGGCAGAGGAGCAAGTATACATGGAGGTAATTGCAGGATCAGAGCCTTAAAGAACTGCAGTGCTCAGTAGCTCTGTTTTCCAGAGTGAGAAGCACAATGAATAAATCACAATCCTTGGCCATCTTAAAAAATATTTTTATTGTAGTCTGGATGGCCGTGTCTACATTGGCACCCTTTTCCGGAAAAGGGATGCTTATGAGACAAGTCGGAATTGCAAATGCTGTGGGGGATTTAATTATCTCCTGCAGCATTTGCATGAACATGCCTGCCGCTTTTTTCTGGCTCGGGGCTTTGCCAGAGAAAATACGACAGAGGCTTTGTCGACAGTATGTGTCGACAAAGCCTGTGTTGAAAAAGGTGTGCAGTCTAGATGTAGCCAAAGTGTGAATAAATTCAGGAATAAGAGATCTTCCGGAAAAGGCTTTATTTTCTGAAAGATCCCATCTAGACTGGCGCTTTTCTCCGGCAAAGCCCCGAGCCGGAAAAAAGCGGCAGCCATGTTCATGCAAATGCCGCGGGGGATATTTAAATCCCCCGCGGCATTTGCAATTCGACTTGTCTCATTAGCATCCCTTTTCCGGAAAAGGGTGCCAATGTAGACACAGCCGATATGTTTTGAAGTGGGAACATCTACAACAAATTCCCTTTCTCATGTAGAAACACTATATCTTGTTCCAAAGATTTAAGAATAAGATTAGCAGAGGATGGGACCAGAAAAGCACGTGGTTAGAATCACAGAATCATAGAGCTGG